CAAGTACTTACCTTGATTTGGCAGGGGATATGTAGTTCTTCGCGGGACCATTCCCGCGGGGAAAACACAGGCGCTGCACTATTCAGTCGCCCAGACGTGACGTAGGCACGTAGCCGGGCGACGGTCTAGCAATTGGGGCTGGAAACTCGATGGTACCATCGAGTTTCCAGCTCCATTACCAGAGTGTCGCCCAGCTACGTGCCTACGTCACATCTGGGCAATGGAATAGTGCAGCGCCTGTGTTACAAGCAAGAATCTCCGGCGGGGAAGCATGTGTCCCCCGCCGGTTCGTAGGTAGGTACTTGGCAACCCTATGCCATCAGGAGGTCCAGCAGTGAAGCCGGGACACTAGAAGCCCTCCCACTGTTCCCCCCCCCCCCGCACCAAGAATACAGTGCATCACTTGCCCCAGAGTCCCTATCTATACCTTTTGGCTCTGACAGATGGTGGAAATGGGGATTGAGGGAGAGCAAATTCTTAGTAACTGTTAGCAGAACCCTGTGTCCCACCTAGGATACTTCTGTTTCCCACCACTGGTACACCAGCATCAGTGGTACTATTCAATGTCATATCTGTTTCTGATTTCTCACTTCCCGCCTTCAGTATTCAGTGACTGAATTGATTTTGATGTATCAGGTAGGGGGAGGGAGGGGTAATGAGAAACTCCTACAGTGACTTTCAGCCTGGTCTGCTGCTCTCATTAAGGCTGTGAGCAAGCCAATCTCCGACTTTAACCTGATTTGAGTAATTGTCAGTATACTTTGATGTCAGTTTTTAGTCCTTGTCCAGGGACAGGAACCTCTGTTGATCCACCTTAGTAAGAATACTGGCTGAGGGATTTTATCCCCGGCTGACTTGAAAATGGCAGTCGCTCAGGGAAAAGGAAAGAGCGGAAGGCCTCGCCTCCTTCTGAAATGTCCTCGTGGTCTATTTCCTGTTGGAATGACGCAAAAAAAAAGGGTGCTTTATGTCACCACTACCTATCAGAAAATACTGGAAAAAAATTGTATGTAATAATTTTAAGTGCTTCTCATCCAGCAGAGCAAATTGTCTGTCATGACTGTCAACAGTGTGTGTTTTCTGGAAAAATAAGACCTGGAAAACTTTCCAGAAAACTATCCTATCCTCTAAACAGTGTGGTGTGATTTAGCATGTTTATTTTGACTTTATTATGACTTGGGGAAGTTTAAAAATCACCTCCTGCTAATTTTATGTCCCAGCAGCAATAAATACTTGAACTGAAACATTTGATTAAGGAACAAAACCAAAAGCAAGTGTGGTTTATATGCTACAGGCAAGCAGATTCAGAGCTTTATGTGGAAATGATTTTTAGTGGAATAATACTTGTAAAAAAATGAGAACAATGTAGCACGTACTTTCTTTATACTGTTTTCATTTTAGAAAAAAACAAAGGCAGTGAAAACTGTGGGCACACTAATTTCAGCACACTCAAAAAACCTGTTTGTGACACTCTGAGGATGTGGTTGCCCACTCTTCTGTTTTGGCAGAATTTAATTCTTATCCGTGGAGGTCTTTGGGGCACTTTACTGTTAAAAAGATCCATATCAGATTGGTAGCTGTGGGTTTGATTTGACCTCCACAGCCAATCAGGTACATTCATAATTTGATTCCCCACCCCCTTCTCCTCCCCCCAAAAAAATCCTGCCTGGGAAAACAGTATTGCTGCCATGCTTAAGAACATAAGAGAAGCCAATGTTGGATCAGGCCAATGGCCCATCCAGTCCAACACTCTGTCACACAGTGACCAAAAATACCATGTGCCATCAGGAGGTCCAGCAGACAGTAGAAGACCTCCCACTGTTGCCCCCCCCAAAAAAGCACCAAGAATGCAGAGCATCACTTGCCCCAGACTAAGGCACCTTGTCTATACCTTGTGGCTAATAGCCACAAGCAAGGCATTATGTTATGGAAATGGAGGGAATGGACTGAAGAAGGGATTGTATTCTTGAAAAGAAGCAGAACATATTGCAAAGAGTTGGGTAAAGATCTTCATGCCGGGCAAATCTTTGCATGTCACCCTTCATTGCTGGCACATCTGCTAAAGGCAAGGGAGCCATTTTTTGTTTCGCTTTTAAAAATGTAAGCAACCTTCTTGGAAGAGGTAAAGGAGCTCCAATGAATTGAAAGTAACAGACGAACAAACAAAAACAGTAGGATGCTTCAGCATCTTGCCCTGGTCCTTGGTCCACTAGCTCAACTCACTAGAGGACAAGGGGCAAAGGAACAAGAGCCCTTTGGCATGTGTCCCAGCTTTTGTGCTTCTGGCCATACCGAGGCTGAATACCTTTTACGGTGGAGTGACAGACGTTCCGCTCAGATCTCATTCAGCTGATAGAGATGTTCCTAATCTTCCTCACCTTTAGCTCCAGCACTCTGTATTTCTGGTTGCCCGCATACCACTGTCAACAAAGTGGTACCCAAGGCAATGTATGGTCAATTGCAGTGGGCACCATGAAATCAACTGCCATCTAAACCAACAATGTGAGCAATAACTCATACAAATACGCAGGGCAGCAACAGGCACCATTCCTTCAATAGAAATTGCCTGTGTGTTTCCTGCAAACCTGAATTCTATCATGCGGTGGCTGAGAAAACGGGGAGTGGGGAGGGTGTCTCTGGGTACTTGATTCCAAAGTTCTGGTGCCATCAGAGAGAGCCTTCTAAGGAAGGACTCCAAGCAAGGCCTTCCCAGCAGATACCAAAGAACTGGTGCTTCAGACCAGGGGTCATTTCGTAGAAAAAGAGGTGCAGGAGCTCATTAGCATAACTCATTAGCATAACTTATTTGCATATGCCACACACCCCTGATATCACCAGAAGTGTGTCAGAAGGCAACACCCACCGCTCAGGCTCCACTGGACTGTTTTGGATTACTAGCTATTTGGGGGGGGGGTGTACAAATCTGTCCTTGCAGAGGAGGGAGAGCTTGTACCTGAATAAAACTTGGTCTTAAAGGTGCCACTGGACTATTTTGGGCCGGGGGGGAGCTCTGCAACTTACCTGGCTGCTTCTTGCTCTGACTGAGGGCTGCTGGGAGCAGGGGGTAGGGCTTGTTGCATGTGCCCGCCCCCTGGGCTCTTTACTGCCGGAGCTCCGCTCCTGTGCGCTCCTGCAGGAAATGACCCCTGGTTCCCCCTAAGCTGAGTTAGTGTGAGCTAGCTCACAGTCTTTTAGCCTCCGGCTCACACAAGTCTGAGCTCAGGAAGGATGGCTCCGGAGCAAACTAAGTTATGCAGCAGCCATATCGCTCGCTCACAACTTTAATGCCAGGAGCTCACAAAGTAGTATTTTTGCTCACAAGACTCCACAGCTTAGAGGGAGCATTGACGATGAGGGTGCCCAGGCTACACCGATCATATCAGATCTCAGAAGCTAAGCAAGATAACAAAGGGAATATCGCTCTTTAATGATTTTGAAAAATTGGATCAATATTAATATTAATACTAATACACCTGTACATTCGTACAAGAATAATCATCAAAAAGTGATTCCACCGTGTTGACAAGCACAGTCCGACAATCTAAAGTTCTTACAAACAGTAAATCTTCTTTGTGTCTTTCTTGTTACTAATATTGGATTGTAGACAAATAGCATAAAAGGTCACGAATCTGCAGACAAGCTTGCTCCAACACCTGTTTCAATAGGCTTCCTTAGAGTAGAATACGTGTAGGCTCAGCGAATCCTTTCCTGCTCAGCATTCATCTCTGCATGCTGTCTCCCTGCCTAATGCTCACACTCCATGAAATCTTCTCTTAAGGGCTGAGCAGACAGCCGATTCTGTCAACCCTGCAATCCTCCCGGTTTTCTAATGCATTTCCCGACATCGGGAAAATCAAGTACTTTCCTAGTGCTGTGAATCTGCAATTTCTCGTATCTGGAAAGCCATCTCTCGCTATGAATGTGATTAGGTCAACTGTACATCCTTCTTGCGGTAGTTCCCCCCCCCCCAGCTTTCACCATTGTGTGCATGACCAATCCTGCGCTGAATATATTAAATGCATGAATGCTCAAGCGGCTCCTGTACTATCAACAATATATAACTGGAGTCATTGTCAAATACATCTCATTGTCTGTCTGTGTGGTTGTTGTCTTTTTGAAGTTGTGGTTCACTGGGTTCTGTTTGACCCCGGTAGCAGATAGGTAACGTGCTTAACAGAAGTGTTAAGTCTGGGACCATTTGGGATGCAAACCCTTTAGAGGATCTAAAATGAAGCTAGTTGTAGCCTCCGGCCACTTCCGTTCTCTTTTGCAGGAGGGGAGAAAAAATGGGGGAGGGAATGCTTGCTTGTCCAGTGTCCCCCTTTTCCCCTGCAGTCAGGATATGTTTGGGGCCCACGTATCAAATCAGTTGTATGATTTTTTTTATATATCCCAAAAAGGACCACGGCACCTCTCTCCTGCTTGCTGGTTCTGTAGTCAACCATTACTGTTTTGTACTTCACTTTCCCGAGCCTATAATAAAAGTGGAGGGAGAGATCTGTCCTTTTATTACTGTTGAGCCCCTACAGCTTTGAGAACTAGGGCGAGCTGAGGAGTATTACCGGGTACAGTCCTGTTTCAGGATTTGGGGGTGCCTTGGCCAAAAGACCCTCTTTGGTTGGACTCCCTTAACTTGGAAGACGTGAGGCATGCAACCTTCCCTAGTGCCTCTGACCTTCCTATTGGGTGAGTAGGCCTTCTCGCATTCTTAGAGGCCCCGGCAGATGCCTGATCATGCCACCTTCCGGAGCTGACCCTGACAGGCTACATGACCTGCACCGAGACAGTTGGAACGTGCGCCCTTCGATCTCTGTCCCCCGCACAACCACGCCCATACACCTTGGTTCCTATGTGTCTCCATTCTTTTCTCAAATGGGCTGCAGCCCAGGGCTTGGCTGTCTGACTCTCTCCGAGGACTGGGCAGTGCTGCTGGCCCGTCCCTCTGACCAGCTGCCTTGCCACTTCTGTGTAAAGAATCTCTTTATTTCTCTCTATTTCAGCCAAGCGAGACAGAGGGGGCCTCAAAAGCAGGGGAGTCCCACATGGGACCCTAGCTTGTATTAACAACACTTTGGTAGGAACTGGCGAAGGCCTGTGAGCTCCCCGGCCCCAGGGACTGGTGCTTGTACCCGCCCGCACCAGCAGGGGACCGTCCGCCGCCCGCCAGCCTGGAGCACCATCTACACGTCTCCCCAGGCAGCTGCGGCCACCGGGCTTCCGAGGCCGGCCTGTGAGTACTGAACCACGGCGCTGCTAACCTCTTCCCTTTTGCAGGGCTGCAACAGGTCCCTGCCTTGACCGCTGGGAACCCCGACAAAACGCCCCCTTGCCTTCGTTCCGGAACAGAGCAGAGTTCGTTTGGTTGTAGTCCTGCTTCTGGCAGAGGCCAGCCCCACGCTTTGGGGAGCTCCCAAGCAGGGTGTGGAAGCGATGGCCGCTCCCCTGCCTCCCCCAGCATGTGGCAGTCAGTGGTGCGCAGTTTGTGAACAGGGAGGTTCTGTTTAACTACTTGACAGACCTGTGTCCTGTGAAATGGAGACTGCCTCCTGCAGTATCTGTGTTCTCCCGTTGATGTCTACGAGGCTGTATCCATCGGGGCTCCACAGTCTCTTTTCTGGACAGTCGCAGCCAATTGAGAGTCTGCCGAGGTGTACATAGGGTTTTCTGGGCTCAGTAGAGTTGTCCCTAACTTTCCCGCCTTTCTTGTAGTGTAATATTTTCTATACGCACATTCTGTCTCACAGCTGTGGGGCAGGGTTTCATTCTCCCCCCTGCTCAAATCTAGCCTTCTTTCCATGTTCTGTTTGCCCCACTGTATAGTTTTCTCTTGGCTGTGATTCTTCTCCCAGACTCCTGTGCTGCACTCTTGATCTGCAGTACCTGTCGGGATACCAGGGCTCCTGCTACAGCGGGAGTCTTGTCACCCACCAGCACCTTTGGCACCAGCAAGAGGAAATGGAAAGGAACATGTCCCATCATCATGCCAGCGTGCTCATATCACTTCTGGTAAAATCTGGCCGGTGCTTTAGCAATCATAGAGTTTTTGCAAAATGCTAGAGCATTTCCGGGTTTTACATAATGCCATCACACCAGGCCCCGTCCCTCAGTTGCTCCTGGATTGGCTGTGGCCCCGCAACCTGAAGTATCAGTCGGTCAGTCATTGATTTGATTAAGCCAAAATTCACAGCAGTAAACACAGGAAAATACGAAAGATAAATCGCTCCACACTGCAGCATCCAGTCTTCACAAGTAATGCAGATGTGCCCCTCCACCCAAATTTGATTCCTGTTCATCATAGCTGCACTGTGTTTCCAAGTATTCTGTTTATCCCTTCTCCCTCATCAGTTAGAACGTTTATGAACATTCTGTAGTATCATAGGAACTTGGTTAACAACTATAGGGGGTTTGCAGGCAGCAGGTGATCATGTTTAACCTGTTGCGTGATAATGTGCAGCCTGAAAATGTGGAGCAATTGCCTCCTCTGCTGCTGGCTCTGGATAAGCACCAACATTACGGTCTCTCTGGCTGCACTTGGCTTATTTTTTATTATTTTGATGTATTTATAATGCATTTTCATTCCTCACGGACCCCCCCACTGTCCTCAGCCCAGAGCAGCTAACAAAGTAATTTAAAAGATCCAATTTACACAATTAAAAACGTTAAGCAAAGAATTTTTTTTTTAGAAAAGCCGGCAGGCACAAATCCAATGCCGCCAGCGCCACCCCAGTCTCAAATCGGTTCCCGAATAAAAATGTATTCCGCTTGCTCCAGAAGGCCTGTAAGGACGGCCATACTCACCTCCGGAGAGAGGGAGTTCCAGAGTTTGGGTGCAGGAGCTGCAGTCCCCAACCCTTTGGGCATGGCTGGTTTCGCCGCATTCTTACATCAGGAACAAGATCCAATCCCAGTGTAGCTGCAGAATTACCTGCTGCTCGCAGAAGGTGACCGGAATCAAGGCAAGGCTCTGAGTAGTAGATAATGCAGAGAGGCAGTGAGTAGCTTCCTCTATAGGTGAGTACTCTGAGCTCACATGACCCTTGGAGCAGTTAATTGATAAATTTCTCAGAACACTCTGGCTCTTTTCTCGTGGCATATGGCTATAGAATTACGATGACGCAGTTTACGGTGTGCTATGCAGTCCTTATCTCGTTTGATTGAAATACGTCCAATGGGCTTTGATCTTAGGAGAGGAGCTCTCATCCTAAGTGGAGTCCGGCTTCCCCTGGTTGTTCAGGTACACAGCCTTGAGGTGCTCGATTGATTCACTGCCGTCTTAAGAACATAAGAACATAAGAGATGCCAATGTTGGATCAGGCCAAAGGCCCATCCAGTCCAACACTCTGTATCACACAGTGGCCAGAAATACCAGTGCCATCAGGAGGTCCACCAGTGGGGCCAGGACATTAGAAGCCCTACTACTGTTGGCCCCCCCAAGCACCAAGATGACAGAGCATCACTTGCCCCAGAGTCCCTATCTATACCTTGTGGCTAATAGCCACTGATGGACCTCTGCTCCATATGCTTATCTAATTCCCTTTTGAAGCCGTCCATGCTTGTAGCCACCACCACTTCCTGTGGCAGTGAATTCCAAGTGTTAATCACTCTTTGGGTGAAGAAGTACTTCCTCTTATCCGTTCTAACCCGACCGCTCAGCAATTTCATGGAGTGCCCACGAGTTCTTGTATTGTGAGAAAGGGAGAAAAGTACCTCTTTCTCTACCTGCTCTTTCCCATGCATAATCTTATAAACCTCAATCATGTCACCCCTCAGTCGTCGTTTCTCCAAGCTAAAGAGCCCTAAGCGCCTTAACCTTTCCTCATAGGGAAAGTGTTCCAACCCTTTTATCATTCGAGTTGCCCTTTTCTGCACTTTTTCCAAAGCTATAATATCCTTGTGGGTCTCCCTCTTGTGCTTATCTAATTCCCTTTTGAAGCCATCCATGCTTGTAGCCGCCACCACCAGTGTTCCCTCTAAGCTGAGTTTGTGTGAGCTAGCTCACAGTTTTTTAGCCTCCAGCTCACACATTTTTGTCTTAGCTCAGGAAGGAGGGCTCCAGAGCAAATGAATTTATGCAGTAGCCAAATTGCTCGCTCACAACTTTAGTGCCAGTAGCTCACAAAGTGGAAGTTTTGCTCACAAGACTTCACAGCTTAGAGGGAACATTGGCCACCACCTCCTGTGGCAGTGAATTCCAAGTGTTAATCACTCTTTGGGTGAAGAAGTACTTCCTTTTATCCGTTCTAACCCGACCGCTCAGCAATTTCATGGAGTGCCCACGAGTTCTTGTATTGTGAGAAAGGGAGAAAAGTACCTCTTTCTCTACCTGCTTGGGAGTCTTGGGGCATCACAGGCAACAGCAGTGGCCAGGAGATACATAAAGTACCCACCAGTTCTATCTAGTGTGGACCCAGCAGCTATGCTGTTGCATACTTGAGGCCAGAAGGCTTCCCTGTGCCGTCTGCAGGATTTTCCACAACGGCTATCTCAAAGCTTCAGTCGAGGCAAGGCACAGTGACTCACCTCTTGCCGGGGACGACATTCGGGGTGTTCTTCTCTGTTGGTGCACCATAGTGTTAAGGGCTCACTTCAGGGTAGTGGCTTGGACCTCAGCGGCACCTGCACGGTTTTGTCCTCACTTACTGGAAAAATCGCTGCTCCTCCCATATCTTCCTTTGTTTGCAATACCCAGGGCTGCTTTTCAGAATGTCACGTATGCACAGAAGAAAGGAGTCTCTTGAAAAGCCGTGATGGGCATGTCCCCCGCATAGCCTTGGAGACATTCCTGCCGCCCCATTATTTTACCCACCTACCTTTCCCCGTGTGTCACCTCCTCTAATTTGCAAACACCTTCCAGCCTCCGTTATCTGGAGGCCATTCTTCTCAGTCCCAGCAGCCAGGCAAGGGCTTATTTGCAAGTCTCGCCTCCAGCCACAGATCGCGGCAGAACCTCTAGGCAGAGCGGCCTCTCTGAGTCACACCGGTTGAGAATGTTTTTGTGCCACGCCTGTTGGGGTTTGCACCTGCTGCCCCTCCTTTGCTGCCGGGTGTCCTGATCAGACACGCCTCAAAGACAGGGGTTGTAAGGCAGGTGGGTGGCTTTCTGGCTTTCTCGCTTTCTGTGAGCGAGCCTGCCGGTCCTGTCGTACACTTCACATCCCCAGTTGGTGTCTTGGCACACCCGCTTTAGGCAAGCCTGTTCCTGCTTGCTTTGGGCCGCTGCGGCTGGCTCTCTGCCAGCACTTGCCTGCCCCGCTTTGTGTATTGGTTTCCCTGGCTTGTATGTTAGCATGTTTGGCATGTTCGGGTAGCGGTGGGCTAGATTCAGGATGTTGAAAGTTTTGGGGCACACCCTCTTTGGCCTGGTGAGATCATGTCATAACTTGAAATAACATCTGTCCATTTCAGCTGCCCTGCATTTGTACCGTGCCGTGCCGTGCGAAGGGAACAAGGGTTAAGAATGGCTGCCGTTGCCAAGACCCCTCGCTAACTTTGATTACTGTAGAGAGGAGGAATCTGTCCAAGCTTGCCCCCCCCCCAGCCCCGTAAGAGACTTCACCACCTGGGTCACCCTGGGGGAGGAATCTGTCCGAGCGTGCATGCACACACCCTTTCTGACTTAATGGGTGGGTGTTTTGCAGTATGTTAAGAGCTAGGCTCCCTCTAAGCTGTGGAGTCCTGTGAGCAAAAATTCTACTTGGTGAGCTCCTGGCATTAAAGTTGTGAGCGAGCTGCATGAATTAGTTTGCTCTGAAGCCCTCCTTCCTGAGCTAAGACAAAAATCGGTGAGCCGGAGGCTAAAAAACTGTGAGCTCACACTAACTCAGCTTAGAGGGAACTCTGGTTAAGAGTCTTCTTTTTAGGACTGCTGAAAAGGATGGTGTGGTTTTGTTTGCTAGGGGCACAAAATTCTGGGGAGTCAGGCAAAGGGGCATCCCGTATGTTGCTCTAATCCCACTGTCTTTTCACAGAGGGAAGAGGGCAATGTGACTTTGGGCCGCTCTCTCCACCTAATCTACATTACAGGGTTGTTTGTAGGGGTAAAATTAGGGACGCGGATGCCTACACTGCACTGAGATTCTCAGATGAAGGATAGGATATAAATGTGAGAAAAAGGAACAGGGGGACTCTGGTGTTTGTAGAGAGAACTGAGTATTATTTTTAGCCTGTTCGTGCAAACAGCAGGCCATTTCCCTATAAGATCTGGTTGGCTCTAGGTGGTAAGGGGAGCCA